AAGGGAAATGTCAAGAGTTGGGGAGAGTGACTGGCGGGGTGAGATCCGTCCAGAGAGGAGAATGGAGTCCAGGAGGGGGTTCTGGCCTGGTAGCTGGGATTTACCCAAATGTTTACCCACAAGCTCCAGGACTCCCATGCTCTCTTTTCCTTCCCAGAGGCAGATCTGGAGACATCCTGCCAGCAGTTTGCTCTCTAAAGCTACCACCACCCATCCTATAGATTAGGTTCTCTAGTCTAAGCCAGGAACACAGGGCCCAGTCTCTCCAGCTCTGACTTCCGCACTGCCTCCAAAGGCATTAGTCATGACAAGGACTCTCAGCAGGCAACAAATACAGCCACGCGGGAAGTTACAGAGTTTAGGAATGCTATGAAATTCTTAGAGGCTCTGCTCCTAGTCTCTCATTCCTATTCCCTTACTGGGACAGAGCTCCCTAGTCCCTATTCCTTCGGAAAGAGAAAGCCAAGCAACCAGGAAGGCAACACAAGCAAACCAGGCAGGAAGACTGGCGCCCCCTACAGAAAAGTAGGTAACCTGCATTCCTGAGGCCCATCAGACTGGATGACATCTGTTTATCTGAGCAGTTTTCTTACACCGGGACATCAGGATGGCTCCTGCTCTGAGTCAGATGGCTCCACTCTGGGGACGGGAAATATGAGCAGGTGGCCAAATAGAGGGGTGTGCTCCTGCTCCTTGGGTTCAGAGATGAAAACAGCAAGGAGACAGGCAGGCAAGATGGATTGACTGTGGGTTCCAGCCCAGGCATTCCCTCCAGACCTCTGCTGCGTTGTGGCTAAGGTGTAAAGTCCCCAGAAAGCCTCCAGGAGGAATGGGTTTGTTTGTTTACTTATTCTTATTCACTCATTCACTCATTTTCCCCCAGTGGTTTCTAGTATATTCACAACATTGTGCAACTATCAGCTATCAAATCCCAGAACATTTTCATCACCCCAAAAAGAACCCCAAAATCTATTAGCAGTCATTCTCCATTCTCCCTTCTCCCCAGGCCCCAAATTCATCATGTCTAAGGCCTGGCTAGGATAATCCTGCCACGTTCAAAGGCAGAGCACTCATTAGAGAATAAAACATTAGAGAAAGTAGCCTTGAGAGAGGCCGGGAATGCCAATTTCCTGTAGGATCTGGTAGGGGCCTGGATAGACTAAGCTGAGTAAAGGTCCCACCTAAAAATTTCCTCTCAAGACAGAAGCGAAGTAATAAGGCTTGTCTAGTAGAGGAGAATGGGTTCCTATTACTCTGGACTTGGATGGGCCCAATAAGGAGGCCCTAACAGCCACCGAGAAGTCTGGACACAGGCTGCCATGTACCTTGGACTTCATAAGGGCAGAAGTGACTCCATGACCCGGGTAACAGGCTCCAGCATATGGAAGAACATACAGGATGCTCAGCTGAGGGGCTGGGATGCAGAGGCGCTTAACAGCGATCATCCCATACCTCAGGTGTGGTCACATGAGAGACAAGACTTATTCTGGAGGCCCCAAGAGGTACACATGGGACCAAGAGAAGGAAAACTGCAAGATGGCAATATTTCAGATCATGACAGGGAAGGACTTCCTAAGGGTCACACAATCTTAAGGTCAAATGGGCTGCCTGTAAGGTAGAGAGTTAAAATGCAATCTGGATATTCAATAAGCGGATGCTGTGGAGGTAATCTGAAAACCAGAGAGTGATGTGACAACTGTGGCGCTCCCACACTTGAGTGGTGAGGTCAACTGTGAGGTGTGTTGCAAGTTATCTGTTACAATAATAAAACACAGGAGTGGATGATTTTACCGTCTTTAGGTCCTGGGTTGTCTTTATAACGCCACTCTTCTTCACTTGAATTATTCTGTATTTTCTCAAGCGAAAGTGGATTACTCCATGTTCAAGTTAGTGGGCTGGGTAATGCCCATGAGAATGTTCCACTTGAGTGTATTTTTAGGCTCCAGGAAGTGGGGTGATAATCAGCAGGTTAGATGGCTGTTAGAATCCCTTACAGACCTGAGATTCCTCGAGGGAGGGGGCACCCCGTCCTCAGCCTGCCCACATAATTCTGACTTCCTGGAAAACAGGTGTCACTGCCTTTCTGCAGAACTGATCTGCAGGCTATAAGGTCTAAGTCTCACACTTGCAGGAGACACTGCTCACAAGTCCTGAGGGTACATCTGAACTTTACAGAATGGGACAGTGAAGACCAGGAAAGTTACATCTGTCTGTCTTATTTGCACAGAATGGTCATTCTGATTATTTCAATAGGACCAAATGAAAGTCTGACCTCTATATTTTCTTTAAATAAAAATGGTTATAGGTGATGTAAATATGCCCAGAATACACTATTTGCTTCTTGAAACATTAAACATTTTTTCCTCTAAGCAAAAATTGACATGAACTGGTAACTAATGGAACCTGAACTCAGCCAACCTCACCCCAATCCAAACTGGAATTGACTTTCACTTTTCATCCCCCTGGATAAATAGCCTTGGCAGAAACCCTTGTCACAAAGGCCAACTGTAGAAGTGCCACCATAAAAACGCTTGACTGACCAACTCCGGCCTTTTCAGATTCTTCCCTGATTCCTTTTCCATGTCCTTTTTCTGCTACTCTGCCATGTGACCAGATGTTAATTACTCCTCTGGAATGCAAGAATAACTAAGCAGATGGAAGGTATCTGATCACCTGGTGCAGTGCGCTACTGGGCAGCCTGTGACTTTTGGCACCTCATAATTTTTTTTTATTACAAAAATTTTTTCATTATAAAACTATTATTACCACATTATAAAAATTTGTAAACTAGAGAAAAGAGAAATATCACTGATGATCCCATCATCCTAATAAAATTGCTGTTTGCATTTTGATGCATTGTCTACTTTTCTCCAGGGCGCTCTGTGTATGTAGCCATAGGGACTACCTACATTTAGCTGATTTGTCCTCTGAAAAGGATGTGTGGTGGCTTAGACAGATGTGTATTATCAGTCAACTCCATGTAGACACAGTCTCTTCCAAACCAGCTCATCCTCTTGCTGTCCTGGTTTTTCACTTGTAAATTCTATCTCCCCATCACCCAAGTTGAAACTTCTGCTCCATCTTGTATAGCTCGAAGACTCTTCTCCCTCAATCTCAACATCCATTTCCACTGATTCTTCTGTCATGACTCCTTTGTCACATCTGCCCTCCTCACGCTGCTTAGTACTGCCATCCCCTCTAGTCCAGTTTGTTATCTATTTCTCTAAATGATTATAAAGCTTCTCTGCCTCTACTTCCTCCTCTTCTCCTTCATCTTGTACTGCTAGATTATTTTCCTTATTTTGACAGCTCTCCTTGAACAAGAGACTGGAAACAATTGGTTTTCAATGGTCTGACACAGAACATTCTTTGGTTGGAAATTTACAAACATGTATGATTTGTCCCTAATCTACTTTTCCTGCCCTATCTTCTACCTTTTCCTTACAGGAACCCCCTGCTGATAATCTGCTACCCTAACCAGAAGATGTAGAGTGTAGTGTATAAGGCAAGTGAGGCAGGACATGTGTCTGCTCCCTGGGGTCCCTACAAGAATACCATTCAGGCCAGCTGAGATGTGGTTAACAGGTGTTAGAACTATAGCCTTCTGCCATCAACAACCATAAAAGTGGACAAAATAAATGAAATGACTGTTTTCAAGCATCAGACTCCAAACAGAGCAGGGCTGTGGACCTGGAGAAGGGAAGTTCATTGTCACCTGGCTTCCTGCCTGGTGGCACTTTTCACACTGGGTGGGGTGCTGGGGTGGCAGCTCACAGAAAGAGACAGGCTCAAGTCTCTGCACTTAGTAAATATTGCCCAGAAGATGAGAAACCAAACCAGTATTTGCTTTTTTAAGTAGGCAGCTCACATTCTGGATTTTAAAAATCTGTAATTGCTCCACAAGTTCTACGGGAATTTTTCTCTCTTTATGTTTTATGTTTCTTTCAATTTTCTTTAGTTGAATATGCCGAGCAACCTTGCCTACAGTTTCAAAGAGGACTTCCACTAAAAGAAGATAAAAGCATTTTTAGGGAATGACATTTTCTGTCTCTGAGCCTCCTATCTACTATAGAGAAGAGAACACACACGGAATCTATGTGGAGTTTTGCATCAATGAAATATACAAACACGTCTGAGATGTTTTAAAAGACTGGGCCACTAGGCCATCAACACTTTGCCGCAGACTGAAACCTCAATGGGGGATAGCCATCGCAGACAAGCCGTCAAAGCCCAGGATAGTGCTGAAGCTGTATCCAAGAATGACTAAAGCCAAAGCAGTCACCTAGATGCCATCCTAGAGAGGGGCAAGAGGCAGCTAAAGTCTAGGAGCAGCACATGGGAGCAGCATTAGAATGGGGACTGGTAGGGTTTCCTCTTCTCATATCCCACATACTACACTCCCTTGACCGACCAACCGACCAACCACCAACCGTAGTTTTCAAATCCCACTCCTTCCTGCTTAGCTCCATCCCAAAAGAATGTTTAAAGAGCCCCTACTGGCTGCCTTTTAATAATCTGCTGGATAGATGGAGACCCGCTGGGAGTAGTGCAGGCTTCCCCAGTGCAACTCTGGAGGGCATTTGGCAGGGAAGGTGCTCCTACTACCGGCTGCTGAGTTTGCCTTTGGAGAGCACCCCAAATTTATCCCCATCTGTTGGTAAATGCAGGTAAAGAACCCAATGCTTCACCTAAGCAGTGCTTAAGGGCTTTCTTCTTTAACACACTACACCTAAACTGCAACTTCCTGAGGAGCCAAGGCCTGGAAGTAGTCCTTCTGCCCTCACTGCTACCTCTGTTGAGGTCTGGAAGGGTCCCCGTGAGAGGATCTTTTTTATTCTCACCCTCATCAAAGTCACCATAGGAATGCAATCTTTAGGTCCCATACTGTGCAGGCTCAGGAACAAAGCAAACCCAACCCTTGGAATACTTGGCCACCAGGCTGACCAGAAAGACAAGCAGACTGCCTGCTACCCAAAAAGGTATAGAAATTTCCATCCTACCATCAGCAAGTGGCTTGCAGGAGAGGGCATCATCGAGGTCGCGGGCAGTTGATGGGTCAATGGTGAAGATACAGTCCTTCCTAGGAAAGATTGAAGACATGATTAGCAGTGGCGCAAATACCAGAACCTTTATCCCACTGTACTAGAGTTTTAAAGAACAGCTACTTTGCAAATGTGCAAATGGTAGGCAAAGGGAAGAGGAACTTCTGTCACGGCTCTTCGAGAAGGGGATCGTTTGTCAACTGTGAGATGGGAGAGGGAAATGGCGGATGCTACCAAGACTCCACAGGATCTCTGAGAGTCCTCCTTTCCCACTCTGTGAGCTAGCACCACTTCTGCTTGAGGCTGAGTGGAGAAGTGCAAGCAGGTAGAATGAGGTGGCTTCCATGGACGAGGCTCCAAAGGTCACTTCTTGCTTTTGCTGCCCTCTTCCTCAGTGGCTAATGGGAACCTGTCCTTCAAGGATCTGTGCGAGAATGACTTACTGCTCCTTCTCCTATCTCCCTAAAGTGGGGGTTTGTCAGAGAATAAATCACCTGACTTATTGTGACAAAGGGGACAGAACCCAAGAATAAGTTTTACGAAAACAAACAAAACTTTGGGCCATAATATTATTTAGCCATAATACAACTATACTTGGAAATGTACCCAATCAGTTCGTGTCCACGGAATAGTTGTATATTTCCCCCAAGCTCACAGAATCAGTATGCCTCCTCCCCATTTATCTTCACACGGTACCCCTGTGCATATCCCGCTCTTCATCTGTGAAGTGCAGGGACATTCTCATTTTCCTTTCCAGCTTCCCAAATAACATGCCCTACCTAGCTGCCAGTCTGACCACATAAATACCTATGGTTTGGGCAGTCTGTCCACAGTTCTCCATACCTCCTGCCTTCCCTCCCTGGGCACTGGCATGGGGGCTGAGGTGCTGGACAGAAAGCACCTGTTCTTCCCACACACAGGCCTTCTCGCTGGTGCCCTCTGCTGCCTCTGGACAATTCCCAAGTTCTCCATCCATGTCCTCAGGTCCTCCAGGTACTAGCAGTGCCACTGCTGCCAGGCCCCGCTCTCCTCAGGAGCATCTGGGTACCCACCACAATTAGACTGGCTTGGTTCCCACAGACTTCTTTCTTCAGGTCACTCCTCTGCTTAAAGTGTCCCCAAAGCCCGCAGAGGCTGCCAACCAGGCCCTGGTGTTGGCTTGCAAAGTTCTCAGGGCCTTCCTTCCTCTGTCCCCTTCTTCTCAATAACCCTCAGCAGCATACTCTGACTCCTCACGCTGATCAGCTCATCCCTGCAGGAGCTCAATTCTAGAACAGTACTGATTCTGAGATTCCCCATCAATTCAACAACAGCTTTTTGGGGAAACAAAAAAACCTTACCACATTAAACAGATACGTTGATTTTAAAGTATTTCAGGATTTGAGAAATGTTAAAAAGAGACATAAATAGGCTCTTAAATGGTAAATGAATATATAGATAACCAAACTGTGGTACATCTACACAAGGGAATACCAATTAGCAACAAAAAGGAATAAATTACTCCTACATGTAACAACTTAGAATCTCAAAGTTACTTCGCTAAGTTAAAAACACCATTCTCACGAGCTTACATAATATATAATTCTATTTCTATGACATTCTCAAAAAGACAAAATTATATGACCGCAGATCAGTGGTTGCCAGGGGCTGAGGGTGCTTGTTCTGGGAGAACAGAGCTTTCCTGTATCCTGCCTGTCGTGCTGGTTATGCGTCATGAATTTATACATATTTTAAAATTCATGTAACTGTATAACAAAGGTCAGCTTCATTGTTTATTAGTTTTGAAGTTAAATTTTTTAAAAAGATTTTATTTATTTTCGAGAGAGAAAGTATGCAAGCAGGAAGAGGAGCAGAGGGTTGTAGAGGAGGATGGAGAGAGAAAGGGAGAGAATCCCAAGTAGACTCTGCACTAAGCATGGAGCCTGACATGGGGCCTGATGTCATGACCCCAAGATTGTGACCTAAGCCAAAACCAGGATTCAGACATTTAACCAACTGAGCCACCCAGGCACCACTAAAAATAAAAAATTTTAAATATGATTTTTGAATCAGGAAAGTAAAAAAATATATGTGTTCACTGTTAATGGACTTGACGTATAGGTGCTGGAATTACTTATATTTTCCTTTATTCTTTTCCACATCTTCCAAAATTTTCACTATAACTATTATTTTCATAAATGGAAAAAATTAGCATTTTTTTTAGATAATCCCCCCAAAGAATAATATACTTTATAGTGCTTATAAAGACATTTAGCAACCTTGTAGACTCGTACTGCAGAATACAGTCAATAGCTTTAAAATTATGAGTTGTGTAAAATAATAAACTCACTGGAATACTAAGAGAAGAGGGTGGGGAAAGGTTGGTGCCACTCAGGTGGAGGACACAAGAGCATTTAGAGTGCAGTCCTAGGAAGAGTTGTCTTCTCAGGACATCCAATCTTCTCACTAAATAGTTGAAGAAGAGATACTCGCAGGGAGGGGGATACATAAATGTGGGGGGAACATAAATGTGGAGGTCTTGGGATATAAAGAATTGATTTCTGCTCTACCATATAAAAGATGTAATTTTAAACAAGATTTCTTTTCTTTTCTTTTCTTTTTTTTTGACAGAGAGAGGGAGAACAAGCAGGGGGAGTGGCAGGCAGAAGGAGAGGGAGAAGCAGGCTCCCCCGCCCGAGCAGGAAGCCCCATGTGGGGCTCCATTCCAGGACCCTGGGATCATGACCTGAGCCAAAGGCAGACAGACGCTCAACTGACTGAGCCACCCAGGCACCCAAGGAAGATGTAATGATGGCACAGAGCCAGATGAAGAGAAACACCTGATGTCCCCTGGAAAGTAAGCTCCCTGAAGGCTGTGTTGCAGCATTGTGAACACAGGCTGCAATTCAAGTGTTTGTTGAATGAATGCATGCATGCTGACAGGAAGAGACAGGGAAGTGAAATAAACCCTGACACCAAAGTAATGGGCTCTGAATTGGTGAGGATCTTGAACTTGATTCACAAGGCAAAGAAGGAATTGACTGCTTATTGTTTCTCTTTATATCCTCCATAAAAGCTGGCAAAATGCCTCATATATAATATACACTAAGTATTCAATAAATACTTGTTGAACTTGAAAGAAAAGTGTTAGACATGGAGGTGGGAATGTTCTGATCCTCCTTTCTTAATGACATTATAAGAAGCTGAAAGGATGTCCCTCTAGTCAAAAATTAAAAAGAACACTGTTAGCTTGGTGGGGGCCACAGTTTTCTGGTTTACTTAGATTGTTGAAAAGGAAGTCATGCTTTCATAAAATTGAGTGTCTCTGGGTGCTTTGACTTTTATTTCAATGAATGAGTGAATAATGCCCAGAAAACATTACAGTGTCAAACTGATGCAGACACATGAGACAGTAAAACTTCAGGGTTTCAGTTTTAATTTGTAAATGTCTTAAGAGGACCTACTAACTGTTTCTGAGAAAAACCTTAGACTAGACTGTAAACACTCAAACCAACTCTCTACTTTTTTTTTTTATCTGTTCTTAAACCAGAAACATAAAAGTCTAAATTAAAACAACTCTGAGGAACAGTAGTCAGGAAGGCTTGCTGGAAAGACGTGCCATCCAAACATTATCCTTGATCATGGGACAGCAAACTACTGCCACAGACCAAAAAGGGCCTGCCACCTGTTTTGGAATGACCTGTGGGATAAGAATGGTTATTGCATTTTTAAATGGTTGGGAAAAAAAAAGAAAAATATTATTTCATGACATGGGAAAATTATATGAAATTCAGATTTCAGTATTCACACATGAAGCTTCACTGGCAAACAGCCATGCTTTTTGGATACAATGGCAGAGCTGAGTAGCTATGACAGAGACTGTCTACTTAATATTACCTATCTGGCCCTGAACAGAAAGTTTGCTGACCCCTGTTTTATTTTATTTATTTTTAAAATTTTATTTATTTATTCATGAGAGACACAGAGAGAGGCAGAGACTCAGGCAGAAGGAGAAGCAGGCTCCATGCAGGGATCCCGACGTGGGACTCGATCCTGGGTCTCCAGGATCACGCCCTGGGCCGAAGGCAGCACTAAACTGCTGAGCCACCTGGGCTGCCCTGACCCCTGTTTTAGACCAACGTTCCCCAGTGGGTCAAGTTTGTGTGTGTGTGTGTGTATGTTTAAAGGTCTGATGATTAAATCAGTTTGGGAAACGCTGGGCCAATTTTTTAATTGAAACTTCTTTTTTTTTAACATTTAAAAAATTTTTTTATTTATTTATGATAGTCACAGGGGGGGGGGGCAGAGACATAGGCAGAGGGAGAAGCAGGCTCCATGCACTGGGAGCCCGATGTGGGATTCGATCCCGGGTCTCCAGGATCGTGCCCTGGGCCAAAGGCAGGCGCCAAACCGCTGCGCCACCCAGGGATCCCTTAATTGAAACTTCTTAAGAGCCTTCAACATACTGCTGTTGTGCAATTGTTGCCATACCTATTTGATCTGGTTGCTTTGTTTTTGTTTTTCCTTATTTTTTGTTTTTGTTTTGTGGCAGAGCATCTCTCAGATGCAACAGGTTCCTCAGGACACTATCCTTTGAGAAGTGATGAACTGGCCCCTGCACAGGCCTGCAGTGGAGTCCTTGTCCCAGATGGAACCTTGCCACCAAGTCGACCCCAGGAAGTCAACAGAATGGCTATGTTGTCCAATGCAGGGAAGCCAATGAGGGCCTTGTCCACCCACTCACTCAGGGCCCCTTTTATGAGTCCTCTGGGGGAAGTTTATACAGGGCAAGGACCCACTCTCACACTCCTGGGCTCATGGTTTGTTTGTATCTTTTATGTTTCCCTCTTTGCTTTGGCTTCTAGGAACTCAGAAAACTATTGACTTGCCTCAAAAGGAACTTATTTGTCGTTTCAACTCTGAACTCACCTGTATCCTGGCCATGACCAATTATCCCACTCATATATTCCTTTTGCCTTGTATTCTAATTTTTTAAAATTAACTGCATTATATGTACACCTGCTAGCTACCTTTAATCCTTTTTTTTTTCTTCCAAAGC